CAGTGAATGATGGTGATACTAATTCTGCTTTTTTTCTCTAGCGTTCTTCTTGGGTTAATTCTCTGCACCACTCTTTCTCTTAGTAATATTATTTTAGAGGCCGGTCCTTATTTTGATTTAAATTTTTGTCCTGATAAAGATGATAGTGCTTGTGCCTCTACCCTGTTCTATATTTGGAGAAACATTAGAGAGGTGTTGAATTCCCTTAACTGCTCCTTTTCTATTATTCTGGATGAGGGGAATGCTTGTGCGCAGGCCTTGGCTATTTTGAAAAGTAAGTTTAATGGTATGAACGATCATTCGCTTATTCAGTTGCCCGTTCATGTGCAGGGTCTTATTAGACTGGATCAAATCGGGTTACCTTATGTTAATTTTGGTGGTCTTGTTCTATTTTGGTGGCTGTGGGTCTCCCCTCTTTCTCTTTGGGGTTCCCTTGCTGCTTTGCTTAGCTTTTCACGTGCTTTTCCTGTTATGTGTAGCTGGCTATGGCTTTATCCTTTATGGATGTATTGGGTTGTTTTTGTGGCCTACAAGCTCCCTTTTGGTTTTTTTCTGATCTGCCTACTGTATTGTAGTTTGGTTCTCTCTGTTTCTTTTGTTTCCTGTTGTGATTTTTATTTATTCCTGTTGCTGCTTCTTGCTAATGATGTTTTACCCAGTGGCTTTTGGCTTGTTGTTGGGTTACTGGTTGTGGTTGCTCTTGGTTTGGTGGGTTGTGTTCATTGAGATTTTGGTATTTTTACTAACTTCAATTGGTGCCTGCAGCTTTATCAGATCTGGAGCGGGAATGTTCTTCATTATTTGGTTTCCTCCTTGTGTTGGTTTTGGCTCATTTGTTGGGTCTTGGATCCAAGCACTCTGAGTACTCCCGTTTGGTCTTTTGCTGCTGTCTTGGACTAATATTGCTATTAGTAATTGTGTTTCTTTGGTGGCTGAGGATTATTTCAATAAGCATATTAGGTTCCTGCATCTTTTTCATGTGTGGAGTAGGCGTAATTTACCTTAAAAGCTGGCTATGTTGTGGGTTGGATCTAGGAATGTATTGGTTGTTATTACTTCCAGCATTTTACTTAATTTTTTTATGGTACTGGGAACCTTATTTTGGCTGGCTGGTTGGGCTTCTCTTGTGCTGCCTCTCGGTCTTTGTCTGCTCACCCCTCAGGTTGGTGTTTTACTATTATGTAGTGGAGGTTGTCTGACTACTTCCATCATAAATTTTAATGGTTATATCCTTGTGTTATCATTCTCTTTACTTTTTGTTATTATAGTTCCTTTTTCTGCTATTTTCCGGGTTATTTCTTGTTCTTGCAGGTTTTTGCTTGTGCAGGTCTTAAGGCTGATAGGTTTTTGGTGGAAAGCAGATCATTGAAGCTCATTATTCTTTTCTTCCCTCTTTTTGGGTGCTCGCTCTTGAGCACAATAGATTGTATCTAGGATTTCTTTTACTTTTGTGTAGTAGGGGCCTTGTGCTCGTGGGTTTTTTTACTTTTAATTTTGTAGCTCTTTTGAGCATTAAAGGGCTCAAGGTCCCTTGAAGGACTTTGTATTATTTTTCCTATATTAATGCGTAGTCCCTCTGTTGGTTTCTCCTAAAAAAAAAACTTAGCATTCATATTATGTGTATTTTTTATGATTCCAAAATATTATTATATTGACTATTATTTCTCCTAACATATATTAAAAATATTACTTTTTGTTGTTTGTACGTACTAACGTTTCAAGAAAATTATACTCCAGACTGGTAAAGACTTCAAGTCAAATTAGATTTGGGCTACTATTTTTGGATTATGTACTTTTTATACTTTTCTTGAGTCTAAGAGAGTGTGATTGCATTTGGATAACTGTGTACACACACACACACACACACACACTAGAGGAGTTTAAAATAAATTTGTAAGTTTTTAAAACTAATCATAATATATGATTTTGGATCGTACGAGATGATTTAATTTGAGTGTACCTCTAAAAAGTAGTTAATTGAACCATGCCAGGAAAACTTTCTAAGTCCTATTCATATTGTACGAAGTTAGCTTCATACGTACACATTCTAGATAACAAAATAGATACGTACAAGTTTGTCCCGATGAACTCCTGATTTTTTTTGAACTGTTCATATTGTACAATCATAGGTTCGTATAAACGACGTCTAGAGTACGAAACGATTGTGTATCTTTTTGTCCAGATGAATAGGTAAATTTTTTGAACTATTCATACTGTATGATCATAGGATCGTATAGATGACTTCTAGAGTATAAAATGGTTGAGGCCATTTTCACACTAAATGAGACATGGTTTGATTAAAATAGTTCATACTATATGATATGGATTTCATACAAAAAGTTATTCAGAGGATGAAATCGTTTTGTACAGAATCGTACCAGACGAATCTGTCAATTCTGAACTGATCGTACTGTACAATATAAGTTCTTACCCAGGTCAATAAGTGTACAAAATAAGTTCATACTGGATAGTACAAGAAATTTTGAATTGTTCGTATGTACGATTGTCGATTGTACTATAAGATAATGGACGGTCAAATTAAAAAATTATAATTTTTTGGAAAGTTTTTTATATCTTTTATATATAAGGTCATATAAATTAACTGTGTATGAAATCCTTCTTTATTTTTTCTTTAGAACAAGTGTGAGAGTGTTTGAGAGAGAGTTCTTACAAGTTGAGAGTGTAAAGGGTTCACAAGGTTACTCAAAGGTGAGAATCTCTTTGTAATTGTCGTAAATCTCTTCCTTAGTTCTTTGAAGATGCTCGAAAGAAAATATTTGAAGAATATCTGGTTCTTTGCTCACACTTAGAGAGTGTGAAAGGATGATGGTACTCTGCCGACACTTGGAGAGTGTGAACAGATGATGGTACTCTGCTAATATTTGGAGGGAATGAAAGGACAATGATACTCTACCAACACTTGAAGGGTGTGAAAGGACGATGGTACTCTGCCGCACCGGGAATTGGTGGAAGAAAGGATTATTGTAAAAGCTTCTCCGCCTTATTGTGGGAGCGAAATGAGAGTCACTTTGATAATAGTGTAATATTTGAAGAAGGAGTCCTCAGGGAGTAAACATAGATCTAGTTGGACCGAACCACTATAAATTTTCTTGTTCTTATTTTACTGCATTTTTACTTTTCTAGGTATTTAAATTTTTGCAGTTAAAATTTTTTAAATTGATAAAAATTTTCTTTGTGCAAAAAAAAAATAAAAAAAATAAAAAGAAAACGGTTTTGTATAAAAATTTCTAAGAGATTTTAAAAATAACCAATTCCACCCCCCCCCCCCCCCTCCCTTTAGTTAGCCTTGGGACAACTGCATTAGATTTAACAACATATACAGGCTTTTCAAATTTAGAGATCTCTCTCAAAAAATCTTTTTTGGAGAGTTGATTAGCTTTGTATGTAAAAGTAATATTATAATTATTTATTTTAATCACGTTAAATCTTGTTCCTACTATGTTTTAAATGTCATTGCATTAAAAATATAAAAATCCCTACCTAAATCCATCTATAGTGGTTGACTAATCCTTGATTGAAAAATAGACAGTGTTATTTCTTTTGTGAATTGGGATGTTAAACCCCTCTAAAAATTGTGAAAACTCTAGATCCCTAATTAAGAAAACACACAAAAATTTTTTATTCTTTTCATTAATTTTCTTGAGCCTAAATCCTTTCACTATAAGCCTAAACCCTAACTAGTCAATTTGGTCAAACTAGGTTTATATTGGACTCAATCGCTTCCATATGCATAAAAATAATTCTAAAATTCTATAAAAATTGTGAATACTTATAGATCACAATTAGAGACTTTTCTCTAACATTTGTGGGTATTGATGATTTATGGATGAGTATTTAGGGAGATCTAGCCATTTGATATTAACCAACTATTATCTTAATTTTTAATCCCTAATCATATGTTGACTCCTATTTTACTCCAAACCTTCACTCCATGGCTAAATCTACTCCACAAGCATATTTCTCATCAACAAAAGCCTTTCTCACAGAGTTACAAACCAATTTACCTTCACTAAGTGGCCTCTCCAACTAACCACACAATCAAGATTAAATTTACTCATCTTTAGTGAGTTGTGTCCTAAAACAGAGAGTTGAAGGAATAGAGTAACAACATCATAATCCTTAGACAATACTTATCCGATGAGATGGTTCATGGGAACATATCTTAATCATGCTAACGAATCCATATGACACTTGAGAGTACATTAATGATAAGATACTAACTTATACTCAATTTCATATTTATTACTTGAGAAATGTTATAGATACCCATCTTTAATTTTCTTGTCATTTTCACAACTTACTTTTCAAAGGGTCAAGTTAATTGAGGAAAAATACATACTTGTACATGTTTATATAGTGATCTACATGTACCTAATAGGTCTCAGTCATCAGACTTAGCTAAAGCAGTCACATTACCAAAGAGAGGAACTCACATAAGGAGAATGTTACCTTGTATCAGGCTAGTTAGCCCACTTTATCAGGTCGTGGCCACTCTCCTTGAAGGATTACAACATGAAGACTAATCTCATAACACTAGGTGGAGGCATGATCATCCTTGATAAAATTCATGAAAGGACTTGTCTAAACCGATCAAAGCCCTTGTGGTTGTTCACGTCAAAAGGGGTCATTCACTCACTATAGTTATTTATAGCGATGGCCATTTGCTTATTCTGGTATCCTAAGCCTCATATTTACCACCGATTTAGCTCGTGCCTACATAGAACTAAATTTGAACCAAAGCTAACTACTAACCTCTTATCGAAATTGGCAAAGATTTCATGCAATCCACCAACAATCATTGTGCTATTTTTTTTTAAACCATAAAATAAATTGATTTATATAATATTCAATAAAAAATAAAAAAAATACAAAATTATTTCTATTTTGTATTAAAATGTAAAAACTAATATATATATATATATATTACAATTGTGCCGTCTACAATTAATTTGTGAGGTTCTATGGTTTGGTGATAAGGCAATAATTTTATTTTTTTTTTTCATTAAGTTTTTCGCTGAGTTCTGCCATCTTAACTTTTATCGTCCGGCCCCCTCGAAGACATTTAATGGCTACAATTCTTCTTCCCAACCTGCTGCCATCTCTTCCGCCTCTTCCGTTCCAGCAGCCTTCGCCTTGTCATTCACTCGCCAAGAATGTCGTAAAGTCACGCTCTCGAAATATATTTGTGTCCTGCTGCTCTTCTTCGTTGCGAGATCCGGTTCCCATCATGGCACAAGATTCATCTTCTTCTTTCGAAGATACCTTATTTACTGAACTAGTTGCCGCTGATGGGATCGATGGGAGTCCCAATTTCAGGTAAAGAAACCAAATCTGATACAGATTAGTTGGACTTTTTCAAATTTCATTAGTTTTTTTTTTTAACTCGGACAACTATTATTTTTTTTTTATAATTTCTTTTAAAAAGTTAATCTTCTCAATGCCACCGGTTGCTGGTTTCAGATGAGTTATATGTTAAGTGACATGTTTCTTCTCTCGTCTGACAAGCTCGGCCTTGTTTTCGGGAATAGGGAACACATGCTGATCCAAAAGTGTATACCTGGTATTGTATATCTAGGCATGACCAATTTTCAAGAAATTTCTGCTTTTTTTGTCCTCATTGTGCTTCATGCACATAACACATTCTAATTCCTGGAGGGCTTTATGTTTTCTTTGAATCTAGGAATTCAGGAGAGTATATTAAAATTTTGCAGAATTGACTGATTAGTGTCTTTCAACATACACTAGCTGGATGCTTGTTTTTAGGAGACAAGTGAAAAGTATCATGACAAGAAGAAAGAAGCTTTTTGAGCTTTGTGACCTATACACAATAGTATGCTTTGCTAATAGCATGAATCAAAGTGAGATGAAAATTATTCAATATTCCAATAGAAAATATTTGTTATCAACTCAAAAACACATGCTTATGGGCAAGGGCATGAACTTTGTATGTCTACATCAGTAGATATTTCAACAAGTTGATGTTGGACTATGCCAAAATAATTTATGTTCCTTAACAATTATCTCCCTCTCTTGGGATCCCTCTACACCAGCCATTACTTGCCCTTGAACATAACCTTTTCCAACATAATATGTTATTATGTTCCAAGAGGGCACACAATGACATGAAGCTACCATGGGAGTCACACATATTTGAATCTTTTTCAACCATTATAGAATATACCAAAGACCCATGGGAGCCACAAACTACATGATTTACTAAAACTGAGTTGAAAATTTGGCTCTTATACTAAAACTTCTCAAATGAAGGCTAAAATTGGACTTGATATATCAGTTGTCAAATTTATTTTTAGTTCATAAGATTTGCTTATGGATGATGGCCAATCACTTGTATTTCCATAGTCCATACAATTATATTTTTTAGGTATTGCATGTGAAAGCACTATATTCTTAACATGTATGGCCTGCTTTATGCTGTTTTAATTAAGCTATAAAAAGTCTTGTGATTCAACTTATACATGATACTGTATTTTGTTGGCAAAACTATGCATTTGTATAATTGCATTGCATTTGTTTCCTTGAATGGTTTGCAAGCCATTATTCATTTTTCTGATACATTTACATGATGCACTCAAAAAATCAGAACAATGCATGGACCAAATCATCATGACCTTGGTCAAACCATACTTATACTTTGAAATGTTTGAATTACAAATTAATATTCACAAGGGGGTGCAAGACCTGTGGAAGAGAGGAAATTGTGAAAAGATGTAATGGTGAGGGGAGGATTCAAGGAGGTATAGCAACTATTCGTGGCTTTGGCTGGTGGCCCATAAAGGCCTTCAAACCTTGTCCTGGATTTGTTGCGTCTGGTGGGAGATATAGACGGCATGGGCAAAGCTTGGATGAGGTTGCTTTTGGGAGGACTGAAAGAGACATTTCTGTGAAGTTAAAGGCTATGTCCACGTAAGTGCAACATTATACTTATTCATCCTTAAATTTATCATGCTTCATTTATGAGATAGGTCTATTCTACAAATTTTATTACTATTTTCAAAACTTTTATTTTTTGTTTGTGTTATTAGTTTTCTGACATTATAATTGCATAATCATTTACATGATTAGCATATACATTTTTTTGTTATTTTCTCATCTAGTGTACTCTTTTTCAGGGATATTACTTGTCATGCCTCATAATCTAATTGAAGAATTAAAACATGAACCTAACTATTTTATTCTCAATACATAATACCCCGGAGCTACTAATACATCCAAAATGTACCAAATAGCATAAACTTCTATACAAAATTTTCATTCCAAAAGAATTATAATAAAATAATCTAGTACAAATCGTTCTACACATCAAAATATAAAAGAACTGGACTAACAAAATACCTTGATTGGACTAGCTCCCGGTGATCCTAACTTTATCACTCCTACTTAACTAGTTATTTCTCTTTCTTTGAAATTGTAAATACTTCATAGAGTGAGCAACGAAATTCTCAGTACACTACTCAAAATCCTATTATAGAAATTAATATTTATATTTTTGCTTTATGCATCACCAAAAATTAGCTTGATCGGACACAAATAAAAAATATATAAATAAGCTCATTCTCTCTTCATGAGTGGGGGGCTTTTTGCTGGAAATTGAAGAGAACTTTGAGGCTTCAAGGATCCAAGAGTTGTGCCTAGGCACCACTACTGGTGAACTTCTATCGACCACCACCCAGCCATTACTATCTCCTGACCACCACCCATCCTCCGACCGTTGCTCGACTATGGTTCATTATCTTTAATCAACTCACATTCTCTGTCTTAGATTCAACTCTTTTTGAGTAAAGTTATACCTCAAACTGTAGTGGTTAGTTTGAATATCATACCCCATTCTATATAATATCTCCAGTTCTTCAATGTAAATATAATCTCCGCCAAATCTTGATCATGAGTTGTATAATTTTTCTCATGCAATTTCAATTGATTGGAGGCGTAAGCAATTACTTCTCATTCTGCTGCATCACACATCCTAAGCCTTTCAGTGAAATATCAGTATATATTTGGAATCCTTCAACACCGGCTGGAATGGTCAGCACATGAGCTAGCACTAAACACTGCTTCAACTTTTAAAAACTATCTTCGTACTCTGACATCCAATCAAATGACACAACTTTATGGTCAATCGTGTAAAAGGGATCACAATCTGCAAAATGTCTCTGACAAATTTTCTAAAGTAAACCGCCTTGCCTAGAAAATTATGAATCTTTGACACTGAACTTGGCCTCGGCCAATTCACCACAGCTTGTATGTTTTAAAGATCTTTAGATAGCCTTTCCTTGCTCCCCACGTATGCAGAAATGTCACCAACTTCAATTAAAATTTGCACTTCAAGAATTTAAATATAGTTTATGCTACCTTGAAGTCTCCAGAGTCGAATATAGACGATTTGCATGATCCTTTTCAGTCATTGAATATATCAGAATATCATTGATAAATATAATAATGAATTGATTTAGATACTCCCTGAACACCATGTTCACCAGATCTTTGAATACTACCAATGTTCATTACTCTTAACTACACCAAAAACTTATACATTCTATACCTGGTTCAACCTATAGTTGTAATATCATCTAGTTAGTCTTGAAAAAAAAAAATACCCACCATGGACAATACCTTATTCAATTGCGTGGGCTCCCACCATAATATGCAATGTGGATCGATGTAGAGGAGTTGTTTAAGGAATACCTAGCCTTTAACCTTGTGGAACAGGTCAAATTTTCAATTGTGGAGGGCATTGATACACATGTCGATGATACTACCAAAGACCAAGCGATAAGCAATGAGCGAACATAATGGATTCAACACATTCTAGTCATGTTGAGAGACTTCCATTTAAGAAACTAAAAGTGAGCGTGGTTGGATTATTTTGATTTGAGTTGAGTTAAATGTTATATTCTGTTATAGAGTAGTGCATGTGTCAATAGTTTATTGGTCTAGTGAAAAGTCGTAGTTAGAAATTTTTGGGACCTTTTTCCCTTCCAATTATTGTATTTATGGTATAAGAAAATGGGAGAAGAGTACATTTGAAGTACATTGTGTTACATGAAGGCAATGAAAAAATATTATTGCGGATCTATGGCTTATGATTTTGATGATAGCAAACATTCTTTTTTCTCTACAACTGCCTTATCTACTGACATTTCTGGTTCACACGATCGGACTGCAATTTGGAATCAACTCAAGATTGGGTAGACTAGGTCTGAGTCAGTTTGTACACTTTTTCCTTTCTCGAGTCTATTGTATTTGGTGTGGCTCCTGATGCTTTGTAACTTGGAAGATTTTCTGACTGTTCCCTAGAGTTTACTATTTTTGGTAACATCGTCGGGGACGATTTTATATCGTCTAAGACGATCGGTTCAAAAGCAGAAACCCTAATTAGGGCATCCTCATTAAAGCAGCCGTCATTTTGCAAAACACATCGTCCTGGACGATTTTGTATGGCCAGGACGATAGGCTCAATTCAGAAAGAATCTGTCGCCAGATCTACTTAGGAAATACTTATTTTTGGACATCATCCCGGTGGATCGGCCTGGCCGATCCAGAGCAATTTTTTAAATAAATCTAGTGATTAAGGAAAGCAATTAATAGTGATTTGCATGATCACATCGGCCAGGATTGGACATTGTCCAGCTTCATTTCAGGGCGATGTTCAGGACGATTTTCTTCATATTTGAACTAATCGGCCAGGACTATATGCCTATCGGCCTGGACGATAAAGTCGGCAACTTGCATTAATGAGCTCGTTTTTAGCTCTTCTATTTAAGTGATGTCAAGGTACTTTGTAAAGTGTCTTTGGCAGCCATTGTAGCTTCGTTCTTTTGGGGAAAACTTGAAGAGAGAGCTTAAAAGGGAGTGAGGAAAGGGTGGAGTTTGAGAGAGGGATAAGATCCTGTGAGGGGGGACTCAAGGGAGTGTGGAGGGGGTTCCACACGGTTGCTCCGGCAAGCTCGCACCTGAATACCGTCGGATTCAAGGCTTGTCTCGAGGGAAGTTCACCAAAGAAAAAGATCTTCTTTGGTGTCAAAGGACCCGGCGACTCCGCCGCACCGGGGAAGGTGGAAGTGATTTTGTAAGGGCTTCTCCGCCTAACTGTTTGGGCTAAAGGAGAGACACTTAGTTTAGTGCAATACTTGGAGGGTGCCTCCAAGGAGTGGACGTAGGTCAAGATTTGACCGAATCACTATAAACCCTTGTGTTCTTTTTTACTGCTTCCGCACTTTAATTTTCTGCACTTATTTTTTCTGTGGTGATTTTGGTTTGAGTTTTATCTTTGGTTTTAAAATTATCCAATTCACTTCTCTCTTTGTTAGCCTTGGGCCAGTTCATAAGGGCCTAACATCCCTAACGAACTTTCAAGTGCTATCAGAGCACTTTCTTGTGCCATTAGAGCACTTTCAAACATCTCTTTTGTTTGATGAATTCTCAACGTCTCCTTTTCTTCTCCTCTAACTATTTGCTGTTGACCCTTACCCTATTGAACACTTTGAGCTTGGTGATTGCTAGGATTTTCATAATAGTAAATATTTTTAGTTGCATTAATTAGGCTGAATTTGTTTGTGTAAATGTTTTTTTTTTTTTAAACTAATATTTCTGGTATAACAGAAAAAGGTCACATAATATTGTACATACACTAGACAAATATCATAAAAGTATGATCATCTAAATTGTAGAAATAGCATTGTAGAAAGGAAGACTGTCAAAGTGATATGACTTGTAATTTTATTTTTAAATCTTCCTACTAATGTGTTAGGTGTTGATTTGCTAAACAACCCTGCACGCACACATGAGTAAAATAGGTTAAAATTAAAAAAAAAAATAAAACACTTGATTTACCGCAAGAACATACCATATGACATGATTCATATTGTATGATATAAGTGGTATAATGCTAATTTTGAAAAATTGAATTTTCTTAATTAACATGAAATATAAATATATATTTTTAAAATAATCGTACTATATGACCCAATATAGACCGTACAATGAGGTATGTTAAAACTAAACCCATAATTTATCTATTATATTCTTAAATATATTAATTCAAAATTAAGCAGATTTTTTTTGTACATTTTATATCACATTGTACTATTATTTATGATATTTACCTAATACAAGAGAATTCAAGATGATGATTTAAAATTGAATCAACAAAATTTTGTATTATATAATTCATATCGTATAATTTGAGCAAATAAAGAGTGATGGTATGATTTTTTATTGAATGATATGATTTTTTATCTAATGTTCCGATCCAATATCCTGGAACATGAAATTAAATTAATTGTATTATATAATATATATCATATAGTTCGATCAAACAAAGAATAATTTTTAGTGTTTCCAACTGCTTGAAGTAATTGTATTGTACAATCTATTGACAAGATTAAACAATCAGGTTAACAATTCTAATGATTGGCCTATTTATGTTTCTAACTTTAAAGAAAAAATTCTTTGCATGGCAAGATGAGCATACTAACATACTAAAAGAATCCAAAATTTTGAAAACGGAATTAAATGAAAAGTTATTATGCATTTAAATGAAAAGTTATAATACATCAAGTTCTTCAATGTGCATATAATATATTAGAAATTGATATTTTGCACTGTCGTGAAATTGAGCTTGACCTTCAGTTTGAGGCTAAAATTATTAAAGTGTAAATGCAAAGTTATGAAAGCAGATCATAGAGCTTAAAACATTTATATCTAGCCTCATACTTATAAACTACCTATGAGGGTACCCCACGCATCATTCTCTTTCAGGAAGAAGAGTCATTAGACAGATTATCACATTCATTTTGTGAAGTCCAAAAGTAGCAAAAAGATAAGTCTTGGTGAGAATATCCCCAAAAATGTAGTTGGCACTGGTACTATTGGTAAGGCCAATATTAAAAATATCTTATAGTTGA